TGACTGCCAAGAAACGATAGGAATGGACGAAATGACTGAGATTATGACGCATGGTGAATTAGGCATCGGCAATGTTCACGCATACATCCGGTATTCCGATAAATATATCATTTAATTAGTTGAACAATTTATTTACACATTTCAATGAAAATAGTCTAATGTTTATATGTTTTTATTTAAGGTTGTTGTACGATAAAAAAATGCACGAGACTGTATTGGCAAGACGCTTCCATTTCTTGTCTGCCCATATTTTCAGCGGAGCGACAATTGTCAGGGAACCGGGTTCAGTTAGGGAGTACTTAGTGAATCGATACACGGCCTACGTCGGCAACCCAGATAGCTTGTTTATTTTGCCGTATAACACTGTTCCAGTGGGGTGAGTTTTTCATTTATTCTAATATATCTTTGTTTATTTTGCGTAGAAACTTTTCTTCTAAACTGTTGCTTAAATTTTTAGAAAACACTGGTTGTTGTTGGCTATCGATCCGATTAAAGAAGTTGTGTACTTTCTGAATTCGGTAGACGGGGAATGGACTAACTATCCCGCTATGAAGGAAACTGTTGATCAGTAAGTGAGATCGTTCTAACTATTCGTGTATATTTATATATTTAATTATTTCTGTGAGATTGATCTAAATATATGTTTTTATTTTCTTAGATCAATACAAATATTTCGTAGTCAAAGGGACGCACAGGTACCCCGGAGTAAATCATCAAATATTACTTGGATCAAAGTGCAGGTACAAAATTAGTTGCTTATAATAATAGTTATGTTACTTGATAAAATTACACGACAACTATAAAATATATTCTGTTTTTCTATGCAGTGTCCGTTACAGAATAACGATGTAGATTGCGGATACTTTTGCTTGAGGTTTATGAAAGAAATCCTTCATAAAAATCAAGTAGAGATTCCAAGTACGGTATGGATTTATAACTTAGAATAATTTTGTATGATTTCTACATTTAATAACATCATGCATATACTGAAGTAATAATTTCTTATGTAGTACTTTGATTACCTCTATACTATGTCGTACACGAAAGTTCAAGTGGAAGAAGTCAAAGAGGAAATATGTCAATTTTATGTTGAAAACAGATTATTCTGATGGGTATGAATAAAATATTATTGTACGTGTTAGTTTGATTGTGTTGGAGCCTTTAATATTGTTTGTTTAATTTACCGTGTTGTTCATATTCATACTTTGCAGGATGACGACCGTGTCGGTGGAGCATTATTTTCGATGTAATTATATATGATTTAGTTACATATGTATATATATATGGTTACAAATTAACACGATACTTTGTATGTGATTTAGTTATGGTTACAAATGTATATATGGTTACAAATTTAGTTATATATGATTTAGTTATATATATATAGATAAGGATTGAATATTATATGGTATACCGGTTTCTGTTAATATAATACCGATTTCTTAAAATATATGTATAGATAAGGATTGAATTACAGGTTAAATTATTGGACCAAAAAAAAATTACAGGCCGCACAGGGAACCTCAAATTATAGGTTTCACTTTAAAAAATTTGTATGAGCTACGAAAGCGCTTTTGGCTAAAAAGCGCTTTCGTAGGCAGGATAAAAAAAAAAAAATTAAATAGAAACCCCCTATCAAAGCGCTTTTTATGGAAAAAGCGCTGTGAAAGACCCCCCTATCAAAGCGCTTTTTCCATAAAAAGCGCTATAAAAGCCATGATAAATAAAAAAACAAAAATTAAATAGAACCCCTATCAAAGCGCTTTTTATGGAAAAAGCGCTGGGAAAGACCCCCCTATCAAAGCGCTTTTTCCATAAAAAGCGCTGTAAAAGGCCTGATAAATAAAAAAAAAAAATTAAATAGCACACCTATCAAAGCGCTTTTCAAAAAGCGCTGGGAAAGACCCCCCTATCAAAGCGCTTTTTAAGGAAAAAGCGCTGGGATAGGTCCACCTACGACAGCGCTTTTGGCCAGAAAAAAGCGCTTTCGTAGCCTACGCCAGCGCTGGCTACGGCAGCGCTTTTAAGCGCTTTTAAAGGGCAAAAAAAAGCGCTGTGAAAGCCCATTTTCGTAGTAGTGATAACAACCTTCCATGTTTTGTTGTCCATGGACTTAAAGAAAACAATTATTTTAGTTTTCCAATAATCATAGTTGGTGTCATCCAAGACAAGTGGTCTATTGACTGGTCTTCCATCCTTAGTATCGTCCATTTGAACAAAATATACTTTCCCCGGAGCTCACCAAAACATAATAGGTTGTTTGCTCTGATGGCATTTGAAATTTTGTTCTTCGTAGGACATATGTTGGACATAATGTCTAAGACAATATATTCAACATCTTATACCAGAATTGATAGATAATAGAACATAAAACATAAATCAATAAATAACACAAAGAAATTGGTAACCCAGTTCGGTGCAACGTTCTCTACGCCTGAGGAACTTCTAACCCAAGAAAGGAAACTCACACTCAATAGTATTAGTATAAAGTGTCTTAGATGAACAACCCTTGTTCAATTCCCCTATTCCTAATACTACTAATGTATTTCTATTAGGACTTTCCCTAAATATGAGATCCCTCTCACTTTCTCTCAATCACTAACCCTAGTGATCAACACACAATTCAGATTAATCTTCGTTGACTTACAATTTTATTAAAACAAACAAACTTTATACCTTAGATGAAAAACTTAACCGCTATAGAGGTGCACAAATAAAAACAAACACAAAGACTCATAGAATAAAACCTAACAGTCAAGATATTCAACTTTAGACCATGTCTTCAATGTTGTTATGAGGAGTCTTTATTTAACAATTCGTCTGCTCAGCTTTTCTTCAATGGGAAATAGATTTGAGACAAACATATTTTATTTTGAATCAGATTATATTAGATTTGAATTAATCTTAATTCACTTTTAAATCTCCATTAAATTTGATTTGGATTTGGACAATATTTTATCAAATCTTTCTTAAAAATATATTTACTAAAAGATACAACTCATAAACAACAAATCTCTTTGAAAACAACCAGATTCATGCACTGATTTACTCACAAACCTTGACATGCATAATGGTGCACACTTGCTAGAATATCATATCCTACATGTTGTATCTTCACCAAAATATATCTTGTATTACCCAATTTGTTTTGCCTAATGCAACTAATCAAAAGGAACAACATCAACAAACAAAAATAAAAATGATGAATCCTCATCATTTCTAAAGATTTTAGATCTTTTTTCAAACTACCACCTTCATGTTTCCACTATATTTTCACTCCATCAACATTATACTCTAAGTTCATCCCCTTAATTAGGTTACAAGCTTCAAAAAAAAAGATTAGAATACATAAATATCACCACCTTCATACCTTAGTTTAGAGTCTTTTACAAAACAACACTTAATGTAAAACACCATCTTAAATAATCCCATCTCTTTTACATTACACATATGATAAGGTGTAAATTTGACAATAATTTCACATAACTACAATTTCAGTCAACATAACATTAATTTTACATTAAATATTCAATCAACATAACATCAGTGTTTTACAAATCATAATACAATTTTGGTCGAATACAAACAACAATCAGTATTGTTATATTCCATTGGCACACAAGACAAAATTGGAGCTTATTAACATATCGAAAAAGAAACCTTAAAACTGTGGGACAGAGAAAAGAAAAAAAAAAAACCTTAAACACGAAAAAAGAAAAAAGAGACATTTGGGACAAATCTGTCTGAAAATGCTTGTTATACAATTTCAATGAAACCACAACTTTCAATGCCTTAATTCAAATCTGTCTGAAAATGCGTGTTATATAATTCAAAAATATTAAGAAATCCCGACGTGTTCTTGAGTTTCAGAGGCGGAGACACTCGTGCTTCTTTCACTTCACATCTCTACGCCTCTCTTCAAAACGCGGGAATTAACGTTTTCAAAGACGATCAATTGCTTCAAAGAGGAGATCACATCTCATCGGCGCCACTTCGAGGGATCTACGGTTCCAGAATTTCCTTAGAAACATGTCTAGGCTGTTGAAATTCAATGGGAAGCTCCACACTTGTGGTCCAACGATACCCTTGTAAGGACACCTTATGAGACGCATTAGTCACTAAGCTGTAGAGAGGAACCAAAGCTTCACGATTGGATTGTCCTTGCAAAATGTAATGGGGTGCCCAAGATTATTAAAAGCCATAGACATGTCCCAAAATCACATCTACACCACCCAATTTCTAACGTATACTCACCAATAATGAGTAACAATAGTGAATTCTGCTTTCACATAACGTGCAAGTTGCATAGCTTGATAACGGTCCTTTGGCTTGAACATGTGAACACGAGAGAGGATATCATGGCGTAAACCTCCCAAAGAATATCCCAAAAATTGCATCTCAGTCAACCGGCCTTGAAACGCAAGGTTGTCACCCAAGTGGGGTTATTAAAATGAAGGAAGAATTGTTTATTTTCTTGGCTGAGTGCAATAGTATTTGCCTTGAGACATTAGTCTTGGCCGTCCCCTAAAGAAGTAGAGTATAGTCTTAGGTAATTGACCTAAAGAGAAATGCATGCCCTCACATTGATAGTATTGTCTACAGTGTAAAATATTTGTCACTGCATTTCAATTAAATTCTTAGAAATATTAAGTTAGCCATTTAGTTAGTAGATGGTTAGTTTGGTAATTCTCCACGAGCTCTTTATATATTATAGAGACCATTTCATATTTTGAGCATTCCAAGCATTTTCTCCAACACAATATTTTTCTCCATTTTGAGCATTTTCTATCTTGTATGACCTTTATCAAGTTTCCTTACATGGTTTCAGAGCCATCAACCTTGAGAGAAGCCTGGAATTTTTGCTTATACAGTTTGCTTCTTTGGTCAACCCTTTTCGTCTAATTGCAACTGTCTTGTAAATTGTAACGACTCAGCTTACACACACACACATCTAACAATAATTTTCTTACTCAAACTTCCCCTCTACTTTTGACTCAAACATGCATAGGTAAATTACTTTAGACATAAACACATAGATATACCTACATGTCACATTATATGTAAATGAATCATTTCTGTTTTTTTTTATAGGAATGAAAATGAGGTTATCAAGAATATTGTTAAAAATGTTACACACATACTTGAGTTATCAGACTTGTTCGTTGTTGATAATCCTGTTGGAGTTGAATCTCGAGTGCAAGATATGATTAAACTTTTAGAAATTCAACAATCAAATGATGTTAAACTACTAGGGATGTGGGGGATGGGTGGAATCGGTAAAACCCCCACTGCAAAAGCCATTTACAATAAAGTTGGCCGCGATTTTGAAGGTAGGAGCTTTCTTGCAAATATCAGGGAGGTTTGGGAGCAAGTTCGTGGGCAATAACACTGCAATAACAAAAGTGACATTTTCTATTGTAAGGTAAAAAAACATTGGATATATTTCTTTGTGTGGATACAAAGGATTCTAGCGTGATGTGTTTCCTTCTATCATCTGGTCTTGGATGTCACCAACAAATCTCTCACCCAATGACATGTCATCCCTTGTTTCAATAAATGCATCAAGTAGTATTTCCCACAATCTATCATCTATTTCCAATGTCCTTCCTAAGCTTTAAAGTCTTTGGCTGGAGTTTGAATCGGATCTTCAACTATCAGAAGATGCAACAACAATTTTGAATGCTTTGAGTACAACAAGTTCTAAGGAATTGGAATCAACTGCAACTACATCACAAGTACTAGATGTGAAGACTTCTTCATTAATTGAATGTCGCAGTCAAGTGCAAGTTTCAACAACAAAAAGTTTCATGAAATCTCTTTTAATTCAAATGGGAATGAGTTACCTAATCACCAATCTTCTAAAAGAGAGGATCTTAAGGGTTTCACTCTCTTTCTGTCTCTTGCATGTGTCTAATTGTTATATTTGCGAAAAATTCATATAAAACCAAGTCCGCATTTTTTTTTGTCACTGGTTGTTGAATTATATATATATATATATGTATATATATATATATACACACACGTGTGTGGTGTGCGATATGGTTCTTGTAAGACTAGAACTATTTAAGAATTATTACATGCAATGCAACTATACAAGTGTACACATTTATTTGTTGAATAAATGATAAGGTTATTGATCTTATCGGTTGATCAAAACCTGAGAAGTGACTGGAAGATGATCTGTAGTCGGGCTGTGATGTTGAGGAGAAAAAGGGGATTGTATCTGCAAGACACTCTGACGATCAAGTAAAAGTGGGAACAAGGAGATACAAGTAAGGTATTAGGTGGTGAATAGTGAATATTTGATACCTGGCCCTCATAGGTGTGAGGGTTTATATAATGCCTCTGACGCGTGGCCATTGGTTCCTGATTTCACGCATAGATAGGTGGGTCCGTGAAATCAGGTAACTGTCAGGACTTGGTCAAACCGGGAAGATGTGCCCGTAACTAGCCGTTGGTTCCGAGGAGGAGGCCAGTTACGGGCGTCTCTCTGGTCGGCTCATGGTGGCCTGCACGGCGTTGATGTCGGACAGGCTGAGAGAATGCTCGTCGATCATTCAGGGCCAATGTTGGCTTGGGAGGGCAAATGGCTGACATTTCCCGACAGGTAGCGGGCAATCCGAGTCATGGTTCTGCGGGCCGTATCAAAGAAAATGTCTTAGATCGGGCTCAGCCAAGCTGTCGGGCCAGTCCAGAGCAGTAGCCCCTAAGTCGTTGCTTATGGGTGCAGGAGTGATGAATTTAACATCTGCTCGTGGAACGGGGTGTGTCTTACAGAGAAATGAGTGTTGCCTGTTACGCCTTTCTTGCGGGGAGACGAGGAGTTAGTCGTTAGGACTCTTGAATTTAGAGAGGTAGCGTGTTTTGAGAAGTGTGCTAGCAAAGCGGCACAATGATGACCTAGGGGCTAGGGTGTAATGATGACGACCCTAGGGTTTCCCAGGTGCATGTCTTGTACGCGTGGATTGTTTCAGCTATAAATACGAGAGGAACAGGGCGTTTAGTATTTTTCGTCTTCTCTCTCAACTGCCTGTATTAGCTCGACTGTCAGCCACCGTTATTCGTTGAGTTTTTCTGCTCGCAGTTGCTTACTTCCACATTTTCTTCTTCTATTAACTGATAAGTTTCCAATCTTCCATTGTTGTTTGCTTTCAGTAGTTTGCATTTCTGCCTTTCACATTCTAGAGATGCATATGCTTAGGATTTAGGGTTCCATTTGTGAGGATGCCGTTTGAGAGTGTCGCTGGTAGACGGTGTTTCTATAGTGTAGAATCGTCGGAGCCACCGTGGGGTCTCCTCGGGGGCCTCGTAGTGTGTCGTAGGCGGCTTGTAACGCCCCGACATTTAATTATTTATTTAATTAAATATTTTTTTTGAATATTTTACATTAATTCGAATTTTTATCGTCGAAGTCATAATTATTTTATTTAGTGGCATGATAAATAATCATATTTAATTTGGTAGAAATAAGTTGAGGTATTATTTTTATTATTAAGCTTAAATATGATATTGGGCTTAATTTGTGGTGTTGTGAAGTAATAAGGGGGTATGTCACTTAGACCCATTTAAATTTATTAAGAGAGTAAGTAAAATAATACTATTATAGTAGAAATATAATTAGAGGAGAAAGAGATTATATTTTTATCAGGAAAAGAAAAAGAAGAGAAAGAGGAATAAGGTTTTGAGAGGAGAAGAAGAACAAGAGGAAGTTTTTACTAGTGCCAAATTCCCAAAAATTCCATTGAAGTTTCTTAGATTTGCACTCAATCCAAGGTAAGGGTGAGTGTTATACCCCAAAATTTTCCCTCTCACTTATCAAGAATTTTCTCACAAGATCTCCTTGGGCTCAAGATTGCACTAGGGTTTGATCAACTCAAGACACCTCTTTAGGCACTGATGACCAAAATTAGGGTTTAACTTTGCACAAGGATTTTTGAACTATCAATGCTTCATATTACTTTCATGGACCATTTTGGACCCCCAATATTACTCATGTCAAGTTTCAAGCCTTGGATCACACTTTTGACCAGTCAATTGAACAGTTGACCTAAAAATCAATTGTATTGGGGAAAAAGTCAACCATGGCCAATTTAAAGTCAAACCTCATGATTTTTTATCCACATCAACATTTTAAACCCATATGTATCATTTGATCAAGTTTGGACCATAATTCCTCAAGAAGTTTGATCAAATCTCCAAAAGGGCAAAATGGTCAAAATTAGGGTTTTGACTAGGAAAGGGAAATTTTTGATTTTTAACCTAGCAAATGGTCAATTGGTTTAAGGCATGATCTCAAGAGTCCATTTGCATCATTTTGACCTAATTACATGGTTCAAAACATTGCAAGTCCATTGAGTTGACAAATGAATTTTGCAGTCAACTGATCAAAAGTCAACTGTATACTGAAAAGTCAAACTTTGACTTTTTGGTCAAATTCAAGTGTCAAAGATTATAATTCATCAAATTCGAGGGGAAATGAACGCTTGTCTTATTTTGTTGTTTATTTATTGAACCTTACGTTGTTATTTGAGGAGTTTATTGTATTGATGTTGTTTTATAATTCAAAAGATGCTATATCTTATTTAGAGAACTATTATGAATTCGTTGCGTGATTAATCAAAGTTTGGTTTATGTTATGAAGACTATATTCATGAGTTGTGTTCATTCCGCTTCTTTAAGTGTTATGTATCTATTCTAAAAGCATGACAAATTTATGTGTCTTTGTTGAATATGTGACATTCTGATTATATTGGAAATTTTATACTCTGATTTTCCTCTAATTGCTTGGGGTAGAATTGGGGTGTTACATTAGTGGTATCAGAGCAAGTCAGTCCGTTCGGCCAAGTTATCGAGTCGTAGTTGTTTAACAATCGAGTATTATTATTTTTTTCTTAACCGTTGTTTCTGTTGAAGTGATAAGATAAGATGGCTGGAAGGAACGATGCTGCGATTGTTGCTGCTCTGCAAGCGATGGCTCAGGCTATGCAAAATCAGCCTAATGCTGACGAGAATGCTGAATCTCGTAGTTTGGCGACTTTCCAAAGGGAGACTCCGTCGGTGTTCAAGGGTAAGCATGATCCTGATGGAGCACTAGATTGGTTGAAGGGGATTGAGAGGACCTTCTGTGTGATGGATTGCACTCCAGCACATAAGGTTCGGTATGGCATTCATATGCTAGCAGTTGAAGCTGGTGACTGGTGGCTAGAGATGCGTGCAAGGTTGGAAGCTGCAGATGAGGAAATCACTTAGATTATGTTCCGTAGGGAGTTTCTGAGGAAGTATTATCCTGAAGATGTTCGGGGTAAGAAAGAGATTGAGTTCCTTGAGTTTAAGCAAGGGGACAAATCCGTCACTGAGTATGCTGCTAAGTTCATTGAGCTAGCTAAGTTCTATCCACATTTTGACGGTGAAGATGCTGAATTTTCTAAGTGCATCAAGTTTGAAAATGGGTTGCACTCGGAAATCAAGAAGGTTGTTGGATATCTGAAGATTCGTGTCTTTTCTGATTTGGTTGATAGTTGTAAGATCTTTGAAGAGGATAACAATACTCATCACAAGATTGTTAATGATAAGAGATGCAAGAATCAACAGAACCGTGGCAAGCCTTATGATGATGGTAGAGGTAAACAAAGAGTTGCTCATGGTCATAGGACTAGTGGGGGAGATGCTCCTGCTAGAGTTATATGTTTCAAATGTGGGCAACCTGGTCATAAGAGTAATGTGTGCACTACTGTTTATGTGAAGAGGTGTTTCCGTTCTGGCAAGATTGGACACACAGCTCCTGAGTGTAGGTGTTGTACCCCAAAATTTGCCCTCTCATTTCATCAACACCTTCTCATCACAAGACTCTTGAAACTCAAGATCAAGCTAGGGTTCGTTCTGCTCAAGACCCCTCATTGCATTGTTGACCTAAATTAGGGTTTGAGTTTGCACAGGGATGTTTTAACCCAAAATGCCCAAAGTGACTTTCATGCTTCATGTTGGACTCACAAGTTTGCCCTTACCAAGGTTCAGGGTTTGATTCAAAGTTTTGCCCAACCAATTGGACAGTTGACCTAGAAATCAGATGTATTAGGGAAAAAGTCAACTATGGCCAATTGACAGTCAAACCTCATGAAATTTGACCCACATCAACATTATGAACTCATATGAACCATTTGATCAAGTTTGGATCACAATTCCACAAGAAATTTGATCAGATCACCAAAAGGGCAAAATGGTCATTTTTAGGGTTTTGACTGCACAAAAGCAATTTTTGACTGTTTGACCTTGCCAATGGCAAATCAAGCTCACACATGGACTCAAGGACTCAATGACTTTGTCTTGACCCATTCAACAAGTTCAAAAGATCTCAAATGCATAGGATTGACAGATGAATTTTTCAGT